CCTCACTCCCATATACATTGTATTTGAATTTAAACCAAATTTTAGTAAAGTTATCTTCATTTTTAAATCTCTAAACAAGTTTATTATTTTCGATTTCTTTATCTAAAACAAGGTTGTCCTCTATTTCTTTATCTATATAGAAAGAAACCGGTGACAGCCTTGTTTATAGATAAAAAAAAAAAAAAAAAAACACACACGTTATCGTAAATTTCTTTATTTATGGACAATGTTATCACCGGTTTCTTTATCTTTCAACGGTTATTTTAGTGGGTTTTTTTTTTATCTTTCTATAAGTTAATCATTGATTTTTTTTATCGAGGACCATGTGGTTCTAATTTCTGTTATTCTTTACGAAACACGCTTAAGTATTGTTCCGTCTTTGTTAAAATAGTGTCTCAAATTTCATCTGGGGGCGTACACGCTCGTGTGTTTTTATTTCGACAAGTTACAATGCGTTCAATATTTTATATTCTAATCTTTCGCCGTAAATTTCGCATTTGACCTGGCTTATTATTATAATCGCCTTATGATCTGTGTAAACTTGACATTTCGCGTTATTTATGTAAACGATCTGTGCTGGATAAGTTTACTTTTCATTACCGTTATATTCCCTAGGTAACGTATACGTACTGGTGGGTTTATAAATATACAGCTCAGGTCACGGAGTGCGCTTACCTTACATGTACATGTAGCATTTTATAAACTACACATTACATACAACAGCCTGTCTCTATTACATACATCGGTATATGTCGGCTCGTTAATTATAGACTAGTTATTAGCTTGATTTTCCGTAGACAAACAATCACTTTGAACTGGGATACATGCCGGTCCGGCATTGCGTCTGAGAGTTCAGAATGGTAACCATGGCTATGGCTGTGGTAACCAATGAAAACCGTGGTAAATACTGTGATAGCTATTGTAAGCACTAGTGTTACTGCAAATATTGTGCTTTGTTACTATAGATCCTGCGATGTGTTACTATATATACTACGATGTGTTACTATATATACCGCGATGTGTTACTATACATACTGCGATGTGTTACTATATATACCGCGATGTGTTACTATACATACTGCGATGTGTTACTATATATACTACGATGTGTTACTATTTATACCGCGATGTGTTACTATACATACTGCGATGTGTTACTATATATACCGCGATGTGTTACTATACATACTGCGATGTGTTACTATATATACTGCGATGTGTTACTATTTATACCGCGATGTGTTACTATATATACCGCAATGTGTTACTATAGATACTGATATGTGTTTCTATAGATACCGCAATGTGTTACTAAAGATACTGCGATGTGTTACTATATATACCGCACTGTGTTACTATAGATAACGCGATCCGTAACTATAGATAATGCGCTGTGTTACTAATATAAATGCGTTTAGTTACTAAAATAAATGCGCTGTGTTACTATAGACACCGCGTTGTGTTACTATAAATATTGCGCTGTGTTACTATAGATACCGCGATGCGTTACTATAATAAACGCGTTGTGTTACTGTAGATAATGCGCTGCGTTTCTTTATAAACTCCAAAGTACTCCCTGCCAAGAAGAGACAATTCAAGATGGAAAAGACATGAAAATTGAAACATGGATGCAGACAGAGAGGACTTTGTACCCCTCAAGTCAGTTCAAAATCTTTGTTGGATGTTTCCAAAAGCGATATCACTTTTTGATTATCGTGTTAGTCTTTTCTGTAAACAGGGATCTTACAAACTTCAATCAGTTTTTCGGCAGAGGTTGAAAACTGTAGACTTTACTGATGTTGCTGTGTAACGTGGATTTTGACTAAATTGATGATATACGAGTCGTTATATTAAGACAATAAATAGTACATGTATAAAACAAATATAGAACAATGGAGTTTCAACAACGTCGAGGTAAAGCACGCGCTCCAATAGAGTACCGAGTGAGACGAAATTAGTTTGTATTCCTTACAAGTAAATGTCATAAGTCCATTCGCATTGTCCTGTTTATTAGGTTTGAGTTACAGGCGGAGTAGGAATTTTTTTCTGCTATTATCGAAAGTTTGTTACGTGATGCTTTTTAAATCGAGACATTCAACACCCGGAACAATTTAAACTTAAATAAACCGGGAAAAGTGCGCACTTTTAAGGTCGAGAACATTGTACAATAAGGAATTATTTGTCAATTGTGTATATGAAAAAGCTTAAGTACGATGTACTTCCTGCGGGGAAATCATTGCAATGCATAGACCCTACGGGAGGATGTCACAAGTATTGCACGAGCGATATACTACATTGTATCTTAATTATGCGGGATTCGGATAGGCGTTAACCTTAACTAGTCTCTAAGTTTAAACTGTGTTTTATTCAAATATTTTGACAATATATTGAAATACAAATTGAACATTTTATAAAATAGAAAAGGAAACAAAAAACAAGTGTCGTGACACTTATGTTAATTTTTTACCTGCTTCATAAAAAGTTTTTTTAGCTCACCTTGTCCGAAGGACCATGGTGAGCTTATGCCATACGCAGCGTCCGTCGTCTTTAAAACGCTACTAGTCCTGAACAGCTTTTTTTTTTACTACATTTGGCCTGGAGCATCCTTAGACAAAGGGGACTAAATTTTGTATAAACCGTGGGTGTGCCCCCCCCCCCTTCTGGGACCTGAGGGGCTGGTCTCTATAGGGTAAATAGAGGAAAAACCTTTAAAATCTTTCTNACTACCATAGGGATCAAGGGATGTTATCCTAATTTAGTCTGGAGCATCATTGGGCCAAGTGGACTCAATCTTTTTTATAAATTGTGGGTTTGGCCACCCTGGGGCAGAGGGGTGGGGCCTAATAGGGGAAATAGAGGTAAATCTTTAAAATCCTTCATCTACCATAGGGATTAAGGGATGTTATCCTAATTTAGCCTGAAGCATCCTTGGACCAAGGGGACTCAATTTTGTATACATCGTGGGTGTGGCCCCCTGGGGGCAGAGGGGGCGGGGCCCAATATGGGAAATAGAGGTAAAACCTTTAAAATCCTTCTTCTACCATAGAGACTAAGGGATTTTATCCGAATTAAGTCGGGAGCACTTAGGTCAATATAACTCAATTTTGTATAAGCAGTGGGTGTGGTCCCACAGGGGGCAGAAGGGCGGGGCCCAAAAGGGAAAACAGAGCAAATTCTTCAAAAGCCTTCTTCTTCTGTAGGATTGACAGGATTTTGTCCAAATTGGATTAAAGCACCCTTGGGTGAAGGGGAACCAATATTGTATAAACGGTGGGCCTGACTACCCTTGGGGCAGTGAAGTGGGGCCCAATAAGGAATATAGAGGAATAGTTTTATTATCCTTCTTCTTCGTTGGGATGAAGGTATTTTGACCAAATTTGAACAGCAGCATCCTATTTGAAAGGGAAATCAATTTTGTATAATTGGTGGGTTTGAACCCTCCGAGGGCAGAGGGGCAGGACCAAATAGGGTAAATAGAAAAATAGCATCAAAATCCTTCTTCTTCTGTAGGAATGACAGGATTTTGTCCATATTTGGTCGAAAGCATTCTTTGGTGAAGGCACGGACTTAGATTTTGTATAATCGGTGGGTCTGTCCTCCCTGGGGGCAGAGGGTCGGGACCCAATAGGGAAAACATAGCAAATTCTTCAAAAGCCTTCTTCTTCTGTAGGATTGACAGGATTAAAGCACCCTTGGGTGAAGGGGAACCAATATTGTATAAACGGTGGGCCTGACTACCCTTGGGGCAGTGAAGTGGGGCCCAATAAGGAATATAGAGGAATAGTTTTATTATCCTTCTTCTTCCGTTGGGATGAAGGTATTTTGACCAAATTTGAACAGTAGCATCCTAGTTGAAAGGGAAATCAATTTTGTATAATTGGTGGGTTTGAACCCTCCGAGGGCAGAGGGGCAGGACCAAATAGGGTAAATAGAAAAATAGCTTCAAAATCATTCTTCTTCTGTAGGAATTACAGGATTATGTCCATATCTGGTCTAAAGCATCATTAGTTGAAGTCAAGCTGATTTTGTATCAACGACAGATCTGACCCCCTGGGGCAGAGGGGCGGGGCCCAATAGGGGAAACATAGCAAATTCTTCAAGAGCCTTATTCAGTAGGATTGACAGGATTTTGTCCAAATTGGATTAAAGCACCCTTGGGTGAAGGGAACCAATTTTGTATAAACGGTGAGTCTGACCCCCCTTGGGGCAGTGAGGCGGGCCCAATAGGGGAAACATAGCAAATTCTTCAAAAGCCTTTTTCTGTAGAAATGACAGGATTTTGTCCAATTGCATATAAATATAACCCCTGACTAACCATGTTATACATGTACACTACCAGCAACATCTGGCTATTTCAACTTTAATTTTATTAACATTTCCAAGTGAGCGATACATGCCCTCTGGGCCTCTTGTTTCAGCGCAGGCTACATGAATAACGTAATATGAACAACAGAACAAATACAAGTCTCTTAAATGAGAACTAACTGGATATGCTTTACCAAAATACAACTTCAAATCTATAGTGACCCTAGTGTACTGTATATTCCTTCATTTTCGTGGAAGATTTATTTTCGCAGTTATACGCAAGGCGATTTAGGGGTGAATCTATATCTTAGGGAAATATTACTTCGTAATATATACTCAAATACGAATGCGAAGAAAACACCATATAAAGTACACACGAAAATACAGTTATTTACAACAGTCACAGTGCCAGCTTGTCACATGGCATATTGTTTAAAATACTCCAGAAGTTTAAAACATGCACATCTGGCGTTTTAGAGAGATAGTTATATAAACGTGACACTGAAGTGATAATGAGGGCGTACACGACAGTGTAACTCACACGGCAGTCTCGTAACATTGATGAGAAAAGGTCAAGCGACTATTAAACTTTACAAAAATGTTTGCATCGACCTCGAACATCGTAGAATGTTCATTCCGACGCGTTGAATCCTCTGGCTTACAATGTTATACATTTTATTTTATTTTGTTTACAGAACTGACGTCATTCCAGTTGTGATGGGAGCACATCCCGACGATTACCGAGCGGTGGCGCCACCTGGATCCTTTATCCATGTTGAGGATTATAATTCACCTGAAGATCTAGCAAAATATTTACATAAATTAGACAAAAATGATGACCTTTATAACGAATATTTCAAATGGAAAGGAACGGGTTCTTTTATTGATACAAAGTTTTGGTGTAGATTATGTGCCCTACTTAATGACCCCGATAAACCAAGCGTGGTCGTGAAAAGTTTAAGTACTTGGTGGAGGCCTCCAGGTGTTTGTATCCGTCGGGACCAGACATGGAAGGACCTAAGATAACGAGCATAATTCGCCGATTGTATTTTATCGTCAAACTAATATTTGTTATTTATTGAAATCCACAAAGCTGAATTCCAGGATGTGATATTTTAAACAATATTATCTCGGACATATCGTTATCATTCCATATATTAAAATGAGAGTTTGTAGATCACAATAAATCTTCTGTTAAAGAGAAAATATCATTCAAATTTGGTAGAACCCGAGACTTTCCCGAGGGTTTTTCCATATTTGAAAATCCCGAGGGTGGAATTTCCCTTTTCTACACCCTTGGACATGAAAGAGTATTTTTCTTTCATTCCAACTACCAGAATAAACTCAAAAACAATGAAAATGCGTATGGACTGGCGGCTACCATTTTTTTTTTAAAATATCAATTTTCCCCTGAGCTTTTTTGATGAAAACTAATCTGCCAGCGAGATAAAGTAATCTCGATAGTTTCCACTGAAAAAACTATCATCTCTCTAAGTTGTACTGTCGATACTTTGTAAAAGGTTTTGATTTCATCGCGTCGCCTTTTCCGCATTGCGGCATCGGAATTCGAGACATCAGGTCACGTGAAACGGGGTATAAGATAGAAATTTCGTACACCTCTTTCTTACCCTGGACAGCTCTATCTTACACACACGGAAATGAGAGAAAAGAAATTATGTAATCACGAATAAACCTTGTGATTTTATTTTTTTACGGATGTGAGGAAAAAACTCAATAAAAAGCGGATTGTTGTTCTAATTGAAAAAGGAATTTATCTGTGTTCTGGTACCTTTTACATCATTTTAGAGTGTGTGATAGCTTATTGAGTTCCAGCGACTGGTAGACCCCAGCGTTTGTGTAGCGGGGTAGTATTGTCCTTGTAGACCCCGGCGTGTGTGTAGCGAGGTGGTATTGTTCTGGTAGACCCCGGCGTGTGTGTAGCGGGATGGTATTTTCCTGGAAGAACCCGGCGTGTCTGTAGCCGGGGGTGTTGTCCTTGTAGACCCCGGCGTGTGTGTAGCGGGATGGTATTGTCCTTGTAGACCCCGGCGTGGGTGTAGCGGGGTGGGATTGTTCTGGTAGACCCCGGCGTGTGTGTAGCGGGGTGATTGTCCTTGTAGAAACCGGCGTGTGTGTAGCGGGGTGGCATTGTCCTTGTAGGCCCCATCATTTGTGTAGCGGGGTGGTATTGTCCTTGTAGACCCCGGCGTGTGTGTAGCGAGGTGGTATTGTTCTGGTAGACCCCGGCGTGTGTGTAGCGGGGTGATTGTCCTTGTAGAAACCGGCGTGTGTGTAGCGGGGTGGCATTGTCCTTGTAGACTCCATCATTTGTGTAGCGGGGTGGTATTGTCCTTGTAGACCCCAGCGTGTGTGTAGCGGGATGGTATTGTCCTTGTAGACCCCGGCGTGGGTGTAGCGGGGTGGGATTGTTCTGGTAGACCCCGGCGTGTGTGTAGCGGGGTGGTATTTTCCTGGAAGAACCCGGCGTGTCTGTAGCGGGTGGTGTTGTCCTTGTAGACCCCGGCGTGTGTGTAGCGGGGTGGCATTGTCCTTGTAGACCCCATCATTTGTGTAGCGGGGTGGTATTGTCCTTGTAGACCCCGGCATTTGTGTAGCGGGGGTTATTTTCCTTGTAGACACCGGCGTGTGTGTAGCGGGGTGGCATTGTCCTTGTAGACCCCGGCGTGTGTGTAGCGGGATGGTATTGTCCTTGTAGACCCCGGTGTCTGTGTAGGGGGATGGCATTGTCCTGGTAGACCCCGGCATTTGTGTAGCGGGGGGTATTGTCCTTGTAGACCCCGGCGTGTGTGTAGCGGGGTGGTATTGTCCTTTTAGACCCCGGCGTGTGTGTAGCGGGGTGGTATTGTCCTTGTAGACCCCGGCGTGTGTGTAGCGGGGTGGTATTGTCCTTTTAGACCCCGGCGTGTGTGTAGCGGGTTGGCATTGTCCTGGTAGATCCCGATGTGTCTGTAGCGAGGTGGTATTGTCCTGGTAGACCCCGGTGTGTCTGTAGGGGGGTGGTATTGTCCCTGTAGACCCCGGTGTGTCTATACGGGGGTGGTATTGTCCTGGTAGACCCCAGCATTTGTGTAGCGGGGTCGTTTTGTCCTTGTAGACCCCGGCGTGTGTTTAGCGGGGTGGTATTGTCCTGGTAGACCCCGGCATTTGTGTAGCGGGGGTTATTGTCCTTGTAGACCCCGACGTGTGTGTAGCGGAGTGGTATTGTCCTTGTAGACCCCGGCGTGTGTGTAGCGGGGTGGTATTATCCTTGTAGACCCCGGTGTGTCTGTAGCGGGTTGGTATTGTCCTGGTAGACCCCGGCGTGTGTGTAGCGGGGTGGTATTGTTCTGGTAGACCCCGGCGTGTGTGTAGCGGGGTGGTATTGTCCTTGTAGACCCCGGCGTGTGTGTAGCGGGGTGGTATTGTCCT